ATTTTATAATAGGTAGTAGATTCAGTTATTATGTGACACAGTATGAAATAATTAAAAAAACAAGTTTCATTGAATGTAGTTTTGTAAAACCTTTCAGTAAATGATAATAATGACTATAATCATAAGAGTTTATATTTTAATTTTGAATGCTAGTTTTAAAATATTATTAAATTTTGATATAAGAGATAGTTAATATACAATACTACCCACATAGCAATACTATGTTACTAAAATGTTGTACAAGTGTACATGAATTAATGTTAGACATTATCTTAATGTAGTTATTAAGTTAAAATTCTATTAAACCAACCTTCCTAAAATGTTCATGCAAGGTGTTCTCGTTGATATTTGGTCTAAATTCTAATGTTAAATTAACATCAGAATTGAATGTCTACTCAATGTTAACATGTAAATCTGAAGATCATATTCCTTTAAGACATCATCAATCTTAGAATAACATTTCTGTAATATTAACAAGGAAGTTGTTAAGGATCAAAAAAAATATTACTATAAGGTTAAATGGAACTTAAAAAAAATATATAAAAATTATACATATATATATATAATATATATATATATTGAATATACAAATAATACATAATATATACTAAAAATAGCTTAAGTATTAAACAGTCGTAGGTATTCAAGAGGTATTAATGATAGAGGAGGGGGGAGGGTAAATCCCTGAACCTCCCCTCCCTTAAACATGCTTCTGGCAATAAATAAATAGGAATTATAAGAGAGTACGCATCATTTAAATCAAATATTTTATTTATTTTACATATAAATATGTAAATATTACATAAGATCATCACTATATTATGAAAAATGAATTGTTATGGTTTTTTTAAACGAAATGGTGCATGAATAAGATGATTGCCGATTCTGGTCTCAATGTCTGTTGTACTGGTATCTTTAAAATCGTGTACGCGTCGAACTGCATCTGATAACAATCAATGAAAAAAAATGTATTCATGTAACACTTACACTTTTCAAATATTATTTATGTATGTTAGTGTATCAAAATCAAAATTTGAACTAGTAGTTCACTAGAAACAATGGACAGACAAACAAATTATGTTTAGATTAAATACAAAAAATAGTGCCTCAAATGATTGGCAAGTAAAATACATTGAAGAACAGATTACAAGAGTTATAAAGTTATAGTGAGGACAAAAGCTATTGTCTTCTAGAAGATGGACAAATTAAAATGAGTTATTTTCAAACATATTATTATTATATATATTGATATGTAAGCTGCAAGCCATACGGTGAATATAACAATTTCCAAAACAAACACTTTTTTTTTCAATGAGCTACCCCAATTTGCAATTTATTATTTTTTGGCCTAAACTACCAGAAAATTTTTAGGCTATTGTTTAAAAATTAACTGCAGCTTTCAGAAACTACCAAACAATAATTATGGGTTCATACAATCACCAAATATTTAATGAAACATTATAGTGAGCTCATATAACTAGTATTATATAATTATAAGTTATTTATAAAAATTTAGTATACTAACCATGAATTACGCTGCATATTGAGAGGCTGGAAAATTTCTTTTTTTTTTTGTTCCTGCCAAAGTAGGAGTAATTTTGAAGCAGTTCATCTTTGAATAGTTTGTTTAAAATTCTTGCTAGTATAATTTTTACTTTCGATCCTCCAGACAAGGATAATTCTTTTACCTGAGAAATATATTAGCAGCTATTGTTAATGAATTTACCAAATAATACAAAAGAAGTGCTTACTAACCAATTTTTTTCTATAAGTTGGAGTACTTTGAATTTGATTTTCAATGTTTATTAGATCATTCTCACTTTCTAAAGGAAATAAACAGTCTAAATTGGAGAAGTCTTCTTTTTCGATATCCAAGTGATTATCCTTAAACGCAGTTATTTTCTTTAATTGTTCATTGATGGATTTCAATTCAATTTTCATGACAACTTGATTGGCCAAAAGTTTTCTCAAACAAACATCTAAGTATAATTAAATAAAAATGTATAAATATACTACCTACTTGGTTATTACTTATTTCTAGGCATTAATTATCATTAATAAAATGTATTAATACATATATGTATAAGCACGCTTGATGTATTATATATTTTTATATTTTATGTATAAAAAACTAAATATGTATACAAAAAATAGCTTAAAGTAATGTATATTATGCTTATGTAATAACGTTTTACATGTTGATCATTTATTATCATAATAAAACATAATACTTTTAGTACTATTTCTCTTAACTTTTCAATCACTTTTTTTCATTTTTAATTGTCTCTATTATTAAAGCTATAACTTAAAAAGGATATTTGCTTTTTGTTTCACGTTATTGTATAAGATTAAGTTGTTCAAATACTAATAAAATAAATATATATAATATATACATAATATTATGTTGTTATCAATATAATGATCAATTTATAAATTTACCAGGTGGTAGACTATTCAGCATTTGTTGAGACGAAAATCGTTTTTTGGGAGAGTTAGAAGCTACAGTGTGTTGATTTTTTAGAGGGTGTAGTTTAGAGTTGGTACGTTTACCAGTTTCAAAAATAAATTCTAAATAAAACAAAAATAACAAATTTTATACAAAACTGATAAAGAACTAATTATAACACAATTGTAATTGTATACCTGGAGAATTTCTGCCGTTATTATAATGCATTGTATTTATTCTGTGTTTACTAGCATTTATATCAATAGTATTGTAATCAAACATATTATCTGGACTTAGTTCACGCCTTTTTTGAGTAAATGAATATTCTGAAAAATTGAATGAAATGATTATTACAGATTGATGTTTTTTGGCTAGGGCTTCACCTACCACCATTATCTATCATGTTATGATCATCAATGGTATTGAAAATACTGCTATGATTATATGGAGATCTGTAGGTTGGTTTTCCTTTTTTCGGAGAATTCAAAAAGGTCTTATTGCTGCTTTTCTGAGATAAATACTCTAGACATTAAAAAAAAAATTATTATTAGATCATTTTGTTTTGTTTGAATTTAATATGTAACACTCACCACTATCACCGTTAGATATCACGTTATGATCATCATCGGTATTGAAAACACTATGATTATATGGAGATCTATGGGTTGCTTTTACTTTTTTAGGAGAATTAAATTGAGTCTGTTCACTGCTCTTTTGAGATAAATACTCTAGAAATTAGAATTAAAATTATTATTAGATCATTTTGTATTGCTTGTATATAATATGTGACACTCACCACCACCATTGGATATCATGTTATGATCATCATAGGTATTGAAAATACTATGATTATATGGAGATCTGTAGGTTGGTTTTCCTTTTTTAGGAGAATTTAAACGAGTCTGTTCACTGCTCTTCTGAGATAAATACTCTAGAAATTAGAATTATTATTAGATCATTTTTTATTGCTTGAATATTATATAACACTCACCACCACCATTAGATATCATGTTATGATCATCATCAATACTATGATTATATGGAGATCTATGGGTTGGTTTTACTTTTTTCGGAGAATCCAAAAAGGTCTTTTTGCTGCTTTTCTGAGATAAATACTCTAGACAATAAAATAAAAATTATTATTGAATCATTCTGTATTTATTGAATATATACAACACCTACCATCATTGGTTATCATGTTGCGACTATCAGGAACATTTTTGGGATTATATGGAGACTGGTAAATAACTGGCATTTTTATTTCTGGAGAACGTGGTTCTATGTTTGTGGATTTTTGAGATAGACCATCTAAACATTTTTATAAATAATATTTTAAATAACGTCATCGAAATTATTTATATATAAAATCAATGAGTCAGCCTCTCTCACTCAATGGCAAAGCATTTTTTTTTTCTTCAGATTTACTGATGTTATCTATTCCAGTTTAATAATAGTTTAAATACTATTACTAATTATAACAAAGAGCAATACTATTATAGAGAATAACTAAAAAATATAATTTTTAATAGGTACCTAGTGTATGATTTGTTTGATTACACAGTTGGTGTACTAATTATTATAGTTCTTTATATATTATAATAGGTATGGTATCCAAAAATTGTAGAAGTACTAAATGCGTATTATTATTCACAAAATTGTATAGTTTAAACTATAATTAATATAAGATAATTTAAAGATTAAAATGAATTTTCTTTACATAAAATTATTTTAGAATACTTATGCCGGGTTGCATGAACAATCACTAAACATTTAACGAATCAATAGTGAGCTAATGATCCCTTAAACATGGTTTAGAAGCCCATGATTGGTCTATTCAATTTTATTGGGAATTTAAATTAATAATTTTTCATGTAACCCGGCCTCAAGGTTGCATAATTATATAAATTACTTTTGGTTTTAGTTCTTCAGAAAATAAATTAGCATAATATACATTTATTTAAACAACTATACTCAAAAGTTAGGTAAAAATACCATTCTAAGTTGTAATAAGGCAAATAGATAAATATAAGGAACCAGTATCGTAACTTTAATTATTCTTTAAGCCTTAAGGGTAGGTATATTACTTGATATACCTAGATTTTAAAAATGTATAGTAATGAATAAATATACAAGTATCAACCTGTTTTGTTATATATTTCAGTTTTTCACTACAAGTCATTATTGATACCTATGCAGTATACAAGACTAACCTGAATCTTCTGAATCCATTAGAACAGGGCAATCGTCAATATCAGGTGTTTTAAACAATTGTTTTTTTGCCGATTTTACAGGAGATTTTTTCTTGGCATCAAATATTTTTCTAGCACAGCGTTTTTTCCTGTTTTTCTTAGCACATTCCTCGTCAGTTTCAGTATTTATGTCAGTCCTAGTTTCAACCCTTCTCAATCTTTCTTTACATTTTTGTAAATCATCTAAAACATTTTTAAATATATTTTTTTTACTGTCAAACCAATTATGATGTCTTTATCTCACTAATACTTACCAGCAGAAGACATAATATTTAAGAAACCATATTTTTCCCAGTCATCATTGGGCATAATATTATCATCAATAACCATCTTACCATACTTCCTTTTTGTTAGTTTAGGGTCAAATGGTGGAAAATAAGATTGATCCAATGTTGGAACGATCCAACGTTTAGGGACAATTTGTATGCCATCAGCAAATTCCACAATAACATATTGTCTAGCAATGTATAAGATAATTAGATAACCATATTATTATAAAATAAATTAAGTTTCTTACATGGGTGTCTTTTCACAATAAATTATTAATTCACATGTTTTTAACCAAATAGTTTGCATATATTTTATACAAATATTCCTATTATTCAAATTGCGTTAATTTTGATATAGGTAAATAATTTAATGTGATAGGTGGGTATAGGTTATTTTGGTTCATTAATTTTAATATTTGGGCATGGTTTATGTTCTTCTGGTTTATTTTGTTTAAGAAATATTTGTTATATACGTTTTAAGAGTCGTAGTATATTTTTAAATAAGGGTTTAATTAATATTTTTCCTTTTTTGTCATTTTGATGATTTTTATTATGTTCTTCTAATATATCTTTTCCTCCTTCTTTAAATTTATTTGGTGAATTATTTTTATTAAT